TTCGTCTAAATCAAACTTATTCGTTAAATCAAACTTAAAGGTCTTGAATAATCAGGCTACATCTTATCTTAAAGGCCTCAGAGTACCACATCACCCCATTAGAGCTCTTTGCTCTCAGACTGCAGGTTTACTTGTGGTTCCTATTTAAAGTAGGATGGGAGGCAGAGCCTTCAGCTTTCAGGCCCGTCTTCTGTGGAACCAGCTTCCAGTTTGGATTTGGGAGACAGACACCATCTCTACTTTTAAAATTAAGCTTAAAATTTGAGTATTTAGTTAGGGCTGAATCAGGTGACCCTGAGCCCTCTCTACATTACGATACAATAGGCCTAGACAGCAGAGGGCTTCCCACAATGCACTGAGTGGTTCTTGTTTCCATCTGTTTTATTTTTTTCCCCTTCACCCCAAGTGGTCGTGGCAGATGGCTGCCCCTAGCTTGGTTCTGCTGAAGATTTCTTCCTGTTAAAAGGAAGTTTTTCCTTGCCACTGTTACCAAGTGCCAAGTTTGCTCACAAGCGGTTGTTGATTGTTATGGTTTTCTCTGTTTTATTGTAGAGTCTTTATCTTACATTATAAAGATAATTACAATTTAACTGAATTAAGCTGAACTTCACAGCCCTGTTACTTTAACTTCAGCTACCTCATAAAACAAGGTTACAAGCTACAAATACAACAATCTGCCTCATCTGTCATGTGTTTTTGTGTTGTGCCTCCCAACTGCTTTACTGACTTAATTTACTTACTAAATCTTTTGTGTCTTGCTTTATTCCTTACTATTTAACATGTAAGAAAGTTCACATATGTAATTAGCATTTCCTATCCGCAAACTCTTACAGAAGCCATCTGGTCTGTTTTGAGTTTGCCTGTGCTGATGAATTTTAGTTTTATCTACTATACAACTATTCAAAAGCCTATGCACAGATTGGATGGTAAAGCCAATTAAGTCAGAAAGGAAATGACGGGGACAGAGGAAAAAATTCTTTGAACAGCAATCAGAAAAATAGATGATTAAGGGCAACGACTGACTGTCATTTTGCGTGTTTGACTGGAATGACTAACTGAGAGAGACACAGATGAAGGCAGAGTGCACCTGTGCTGTGATGTGCCCAGCGGGAATCTGGTGATACATCTGCTATAATTTCTACAGCGCCGGGAAAAAGCACCCTTTGCTCAGGACAGCTGGTTTCAGTTATTCACTTTAATGGAATTTGATTCATTTAGCAGAAGCTAAAGGTGTTATAAGAGCGATGGTGGAAAAAGCTTAAACTTACCCTTCTTACCATTAACAAGCGTGGCATTAAAGGGAGAAGGAACTGAGGGAAGGACACAAAATGAAAGACTTTATAAAGAGTTAAATATGGCTCTTTTGTTTTGTTTTAATTACCCCGTTATTAAGAAACAGCGGGAGTGTTAAACACCTGCCGTTGCCAACATTTTTGCTGAGTGACACAGCTGATGTTTTTATTTTGCACATTGAACAGGCTCTGTGTTTGTAATCCTTTCGGGGCGGAGCTCCAACCATAAACAGTCCATGGGGAAACACAGACAGAGAATCGTATGAGGCTCGCCTGTGAGATCAGTGTCGGCCCGAGGGCATCGATGGGCATTTCCTCTTTGTGCCTTCTTCATAATGTCGCTCAGAAATGTTCAGGCCCACAGACAGAAAGGTTTTACATAAAGCAGACAGGCAGATGGAAAATGCCAAATAAAGAGGAAGAACTATGAGCATGGAGCGCGAGGCCAGCAGTTTGGCCAGACTGAAAGGTCTTTTTTGGTGTATCACTGTTAGCCCTGGGGCATTATTTGGCACCCCTGCCCCACCATGTCCTCCTACTCATATGTCACTCTGCCAGGGGGTCCCCCGCCCACCTCTCCAGAGGCCCTGCTGTAACTGTGCTAATGCCAAAAATATCCTCTGCTAATGGAGGGAAGGTAGAGGGGACAGATCAATAGGAGTTATCAATGACATTGTTAGCTTCCTGCAAGCTAACTTATTGTTTGTGCTCTGGATTGCCCAGAGCTTTTTTTCACCAGATTGATTCCTCTGTGAACAACAAAGATGCTAAAACAAAACCCCAAAACATGCTTAGGCTCATAAAGCGGATTTGACTGATTTATTTTTTTTGTTATAAATTTAAGTCTGACATGAAAATTCCTTTATAATGCCACGTTACTAAAATAAACTGGGGTTTATTATTTTATTTCTTCATTTCCGAAAGGCGGAAACAAGTTTTATTTGCTTACTCTGGTCAAACTCAAGCTCTAAATGCCAGATTGAGCCAGATACAGTGCACACGATTGGAAACAAAATCAACAAATCCAGAGAATGAGAGCAGGTCAGACTCTGAGACAGGTCAAGCTGTAATTTGACACATCTTATGAACAGAAGAGTGTCCAAAATAGAATGATTCATGAAAAATTCATACAGATGATATAAAGAAGGGAAGAATAAAGTGTCAAATAACTGCTGACATTTATACATTCATGCTTCATAAACACTCCCATAAGCATAAAAGCCTTGTGGTTTGTAGAAGCCTGTCCTGGAAGTGTACTTAAACTGAAATTACACTTATGTGGTAAGTAATTGTATGTGGACGAATGTAAAGACATAATTCTTTATTATAATATTAACTGTGTTTCTTGGCAGGTCAAAGAAACGTTTCTTGATTAAATCTGTGGAAAGCATCTTTTCTTGCTTTTAAAATGTGATCATCTTTGTGGGGTTTGCTTATAATATTGCAGCTTTCCATGATTCTAGAAAAGTTGGGGTTTTTTCTTTTTATTCCTAGAGAACAAAACATGATGATTCAGTGGAAAAGGAAATGAAATCTGCTGCGTGACAGCAGGTCACCGGTGCTATGGGACACAGTGCAGATGGTCTTTATAACACTTCATTTTACTGCAGTACATACAGTCAGCAACTTTCAGAGTCAATGATGTCATCTATGTGCTGAATTACACAAAGCATCATATAGTCCTAGCATGCTGCTGTTGCAGGTGAGCAGCAAGAAGGAATAGATGAGCAACTTAGGCAAGGCGATGCACAAATTTGGCAGGTTTTGTATGATCTCTGATAACGATAAGCGCAATAAACTAAATCCTGACTAAACTGACGTTTCTTTGTTTTCTGCATGTGGCGAGAAAAAGAACAGGGAAGGAACACAAAACAAAATCTCTAAGTAAGCTCTACGTACGACTGACATACGTAGCAGACATATGATGGTTTCTACAGGCAACGATCAAGATCTGTGCGTTTATTCTCTAAAATAGCAGCACAGCTAATACACACACGCACACATCGTCGGGCTCTCTGCAAACCTCCAGAATAAAAGCAGGCCAGATTGTTTTGTGAGTACGTGTGTGTGAAAATACTTAGGACGAATACTTCTACAATCGATACCCTCGTAGTTTCTGTAGTAAAAGCAAAAGGGAAAATAATCAATAGGGACGGCTCACTGAGACATAACGTAATAGCTTCATTAAACATCTCCTCCCCCAGGTTACACATGTACATATAAATATAACAATAAATATAAAAGCCTTGTTTACATGTTGTTCACCTGCTCGTTCAATACAATGCTTCCCCAGAAGTACACAAGAATATTAAACATTGCACACATCTAATTGGTAAATAGACCTTTTTACTACAAGCATACAAGCATGTACCGTACAATACATCATGATGCTCTCTCTCCTTTGGTTAATCTAGCACATTCAATGTAATGACAGAGCTTTCAGTGATACACCATACAAGCATGTACCTACACAGAAGTACACAAGAATACTGGAAATAACACGCATCTAATTGGTAAATGGACTGGTACTCATAGACCTTTTTACTACAAGGATACACCGATCAGGCATAATGTTATGACCACTGACAGGTGAAGCGAATAACACTGATTACCTCTTCATTGTGGCGCCTGGATTTGAGTTTAATAAGGGCCAAATTATGGTTAGACAACTGGGTCGTGCAAAACTGCAGCTCTTGCCCAATGTTCCCAGCATGCAGTGGTATGTATCTATCAAAAGGAACTGATGCTCGTGGGATCATTAATTGATACAATATACAAGCATGTACTTTTATAGAACTACACAAGAATACTGAGCCCATCTAACGCACATCTAATTGGTAGATGGACTGGTACTTGAAGAGCTTTTTGCTACAAGCCAAGGGTTTTCTATTCCTCACACACTCACAAACGGCACACACATGCATAACCTGTGTGTCGGTCATTTCACTTTACTCCATCTAGCAGCTAATCTGTGCATCGCATGAGGAAAAATCCCAACTGGACAAAGATAAATCAGTCTGTGCAGCGCTGATGGCATTTTGGTGACACACAACAGAGAGCAAACAACATGTTCAAGCCCTGTGAAAGTGAGGCTCTAAGTGTGCGTGCGTGCTTTTATTTGGTCATTTGTTTGCTTGCTCATGCATAAGACATTGTAGCTTTCTGCACTTCACAGTGTCTTGGGAAATTACAATATACAGGCTAAGCGACACTCCGTGTAAGTGCAATGCTGTCCATGCAGCACCCACTCACATACCAGTAGGTATATATTACAGATTACTGCAGAGGCTGTAGTCAGTGCATGAATTGTACTCTTTGTACAGTTATCCTCTTAGGTGTTAACAGCAAACTTCAGTGTCTCTATTCATTCAACCCCCACACCTCCTGAGAATTGCCAAAACACTTAGCACATTTGTCTTCAAATATCAAGTTTCATACCGCACACGTGTACATACACATTTATACAAACTGTGCACATAAAAACAGATGTGTCAGACATATGAAAAATACATAAGAACACGACAAAATCTAAGCAAGCCCTTGGAAAAATATTTGCACAGGAAACTATTAGGATTGATTCTTTTCCCTCCAGGTGCTTCAACGCTTTACATTCTGCTACAGCTTGTGAATGTTTTTTCCAGGTCCTTACCCTATGTGTGTGTGCGTGTGTGTGTGTGTGTGTCTGTGTGTGTGTGTGCACGCCCTTACCACAGTTAGGTAATGTCAGTCTGGACAGCAGTTTGCGTGCTCCTCCATCCTCAATGCAGCGGAGCTCCTGAATGTCTGCTTCCTCTCCTAACCACAGTTTGATCCACATGTTCTCACAGGAGCAGTGGAGAGGGTTTCCAGACAGGATCCTAGAAGCACACACACACATTGAAGATCTGTGAGAAGCAGAGCATAGCAAAGCACGAAAGAGTAACATACATTTTGGAAGATTTAAGAAAGAGAGGAATTGTAACTGTTCGACACCACTAATGTTCAGTGTTTCTGGGATTTGTTTTTTTCTTTTTTTGTCACATTACAAGGTTTTCCTACTAACATCTCTGCATGCTCTCTGTGCTGTTATTTAGCTTTTAAATCAGGGGGAAAAATAGAAACAGGGGGGAAAAAATCTAAGAATAAAATACAACCTCAACCTCCTGGGTGAACACTTTTGATTGCAAAGGGATTGGACAGGTTGTCTGGTGGCGGGCAACTTGTCTCCAAACAATCACAGTCTGACTCAGACTCACTGCAATCACCCTCAGACAGATTGCCAAAGAGTTAAAGATAACTTCCACGTAATTTATAAACACAGACAGATTGACAGCAAGTTGCAATCAATCTGACTGCTCTGCAACATGTTTCTTTGCAACAGGCAACTCAGTTATTGTAGGGTTTTGTCTTACTATACAACCAACCGGTTGTGTTCCAATATAAACCTAAGTTTGTAGTTGAATCACTATCCCGCAACAACTATGTCACTATTTCTGACTCTCTGTTTCAAATTAGGATCTGACTGGACTCTGAATGCAACTAAAACATCAGCTCCTCTTTAATCAAGAACTTCTAAAAAACCATTTTCCTGCTTGAGGAAAATTACGGACTAAATAGAACTATAAACCGATGAGATTAAAAACCTAAGATGCTATTACAGATGCTACTGTATATATTTGTGCTTATCTAAAGACTCTCATAGTAACTAGGAAGTAAACCAACAGACACACACACAGATAGAAAGACTGATAGCAAAGGTTCCTCTGAACTCACAGATAAGAGATGTTGAGGTGTTTGAATATCCTCCAGGACAGGGATGACAGGTTGTTATCTTTCAGATTCCTAGAAATTAAATCAAACATTAGGGAAGAAGACTGTGTTTGCAGCACGAAAGCAAAGTAGTGGATTGTTGTTAGGACTAATAGCACATGTCTACTTCTATCTACACTAATAAGCCTGTATTATATTTCTCGTTTAAAGTTTTCCCCACACATTGTCACAGACTGTCACAATTAACCTTAAGTGTCACATTAATTAAATATAATAAGTATCAAACTAAACTTTAATTATATTGACTCTGCATCACGGTTTGACTATCAATTATAAATCTTGTTAACCTGTAGCGGACTTCGTTTTTCATCAATTTCACTGCCTTCACTGGCTTTTCTTCTTACTTATTAATTTTCTCTTCACAGTGTGACTGGTTCACATTGCGTTGCAAAGGTACACATTTTCAATCGAAGGGAAGGAATAAACAGCATGACTTTTTACTCACAAGTACTGCAGTCTAAAGTTGCTCTGAAAGGCCAGCTTTGATACATATGTTAGCCTGCTGTTGGTCACCGTTCTGGCACAAAACAAAAGCAAGAACATCATCAGTATCTTCATGAACACATGTCTCACATCACAACCCAGCCAAGACAAGGATATGTACCAGCAATAAGAACCTGGTAACCCATATTCTGCTCTCCTTATTGTCTTATATGACCTACAAACCACAACCAGGATATATATATATATTAACACAACACTTTTTTTAGAAAGTAGAACAATTTAGGTCCAAAGAACTAATCAAATGATGAACATTTAGGGCTTTAAAAGAGGACACGCTTTCTGTTATTGGCTGTCCAATATAGGGATGTCTGTGATGCAAACAGACAGAGACAAACAAAGGTTGTTTTTCATATTAAAATGATATATCAGTATCCCTTTCTGTTAAAATGACGTTTATATAAACAACGCCAATAAAAACTGCAACCATCAGAGCTAATCGAAGCCAATACACTGGATCCGCTGGGCTTAGTGTAAATGGTACCCCAATAGAAATGCTTTTATGTACATAAAAAATTAATATTAATACACAACAGGCATTACACTACGATGCTATAACGGGATGCATAAAGTCTTTGCCCTTTATCAGTTAAGGTGAGGCTCTAAGACAATATTGCCGCTTGGTGCGATGTTATCTCCTGCAGCTGATGGTGTGGCATCACTTGGGCTGAGCGTTTAGTCATTAAAAGTGTGAATCATAACAAAATATTGTTGTATGACTAGTCAGATCACACACTATTACATTAACACAGCACAGAGTGTAAGTGTTTGTGCAGCATGACGTAGACACACGGGACATTTGTTTCAGATAGAAGCTTAAACACAGCATTTAAGACTTCCTGCATTTATAGCTGTTTTTGCATGAGTCCAGCCACAATGAAAACCATACAGCACACTCGCTGTGGATATGTGCTTTGTGCTAATTTGCTTGGCAAATGGGATACTGGTTGAGAAATTAGGTAGCGTTTTCCTAACAGATTTTATCTTCAGGGTACAAGAAAGTGGTTGCTCGTGGTTATAGTTTATTTTTTCTTTTAAAGAGGCAAATTAAGATAAAGAAGTGCAGAACTAGACAAAACACTGTGTGATGCAGTGATAAACACAACAAGGCTGAAATAAATAAGACTAGTAAAAAGAGGAGAGAATGTGCATAGAAATGCTGCCTATTGTTTGGGTCCAACATTGGACAAGAACACTTTAAAATAATGCAGACAGACCTCAAAGGGTACAAAGGTAATATAAGCCATTAAAGACTCACAGGTTCCTGAGATTCTTGTAGTAGTGCAGGTCTTTGTCGCTGATGGAGGAGAAGCTGCTCTGGTTTGCGATGTAACTGTCAAGAGAGCCAAGCGTTGGTAAGACGGCTCATTTGTTAACAGGTGGAAGCATAAACAGAAGCATTTCAAAAAGTCAGAGGGACCAAAATAAAATAATAATGAAAAAAAAGGACTCTGGAAAGCGTGCAGGTGGTACGTAGGAGATGTGGGGGGGGGCCTGAAAAAGGAACAGTTCTCGCCTCTTTTCCTCAGCAGCACTTGTGCATGGCACTTGATTCTAGAGCCAGCAGGAGATGATTGTGGGCAACTCCCTTGGGTGAATGAATTTAGCTGTGTGAATGTGTGCTGGAAAGCAGTATATGCGATCTTTGAATATCACAGCTTCAGGATCAGATTTCTGAGAACATTTAGAGCTAAACAAAAGCTCTGGACAGTCTTTCCCATCAAGGGAACACACTGTAACAGTCACAGCACTGCCCTTTGTCCTGCACAAACCTCCACACTTATTGCACATACTCCCTTGCTAAATCACAAGGTCAGTAAATAAAGTGTTTTTTTCCAAGGGGGTAGACAAGCAGTGAGTGAGAAAAACCATCTCTATTGATTGATTTGTTGAAGGCTGTAGAAATGAAGGGAAATATTGCAAATTCATCAGGTGTAACTTTTAGTTCATGTTTCTCAATGTATGCCATAATAATTACATTTTAGTTGATGCAAGTGAAAAAATAAATGAGTTAAAACTGAAAGGACAGCACATGGCCTGTTTAGCAGGGGGGTCCTGGTGAATTTAGGGGGTTGCTACCACAGTAGCACTGGTCAGTGTGATTGCTCTAAATTGCAATGCAGTTGGTTTGGCTTGCATATAAAGTGGATGTTGTGTTTACTTCCGATTACTTAGAGTTTTGCTGCCTGTTTGCTGCCCCTTTGAAAAAAAAAAGGGGGTAACATAGATACAGGGGGTTAAATAAGAATATAATTCCTTTAAAAAGTACACCATGCAATCTGCATGTCTGGGGTGTTACAGAGAACCTTTTGTGCACAACACCTATTCTTTCCTTCCCCTCATTTCCCATCACAATCCACTAGAAAAAAAAGTAGGGAAAAAATCTGGTGATAATGAAATGTATCTCTCAATAAGGAGCACACTGCCTGCCAGTGATGCATGGACAATGTGACAAAATGATTTTAGTGGAACGAACTCGTTTGCCATCGGAAATAAATCACCAATTAGTCACTCGGTGTCTGCGCTTAAAAAAATAAAATAAAATAAAACAAAATAAACACCTGCAAAAGAGTCTAAAGGAGAACAGCAGACAGTCTTGATGAATAATAACGCTGCTGTCAAATAACACAAGTGTGCACATGTTTGACGAAGCCGTCGCTGAATGTCTGTTTTAGTGAGCTGGGAGGAATTTAACTGAGCTTTTAAATAACCATTATTATACCCACAAATGTGCGTTAGCCTCCTTTGTCTGTCGGTGTAGGGGTACAAGCGTGAATATACAAACTCTGGGAAATTTCTGTACGCGTGGTTATGTTTTCAGTATTTAATCAGGAGGGCATTTTCTGTGCGTAACAAAACATATTGCCATTTATGATTGTCTGTATTAGCACAGCCACCTCCCTGAATCCCCCCTAAAGGATATTTTCTAAACAGATGGTGACTAAGTATGATTTGTTTGGAATTCTGAGCATATACATACTGCAGGCTACACATTAGGGCACAAAAGAGACATCACCGCAGACTGTGTGAGCTGTTACACCCATACAGCACATCGATTTCTGACCAGTTGTTGAGGATTCAGATCAGCTGTCATAAACTAAGTCCAACCAAAAACGGCACATACGACAGGGCGCACGATGACCTACAGTATCTCCCCCGAGTAGGGTTGTTTTTTTTTTTTTTGGCAAGGTCGTTCGGAATTAGCAGTTCCACGGTCATCAGTAATTTGTCTGTTTACATTAGCCAAGCACTCAGTCAGTTCTTTTCGCTACACTGGCTCATTCAAAGAGCTTCCAAGGCTTCTCCAAGGCCGCCGATAAAAACTGTTTATCTCCGACATAAGTCATTACCAACAAGGCCGTTTATCTTTGCCAAGAAATATGCTGGCGCAATTAAAAACCTTAATCTCCCGTTTAATTTGTCTCGGCTGCAGAGGTGCCTCAGCTCATTTTCAGGCCAAGTGACGTTTCATTAAATGTGAGTGGAAAAAGCTCAAATACAGCCCGGAGAGGAGATGATACAGTACATCTAAACACACACTGAGATTTATGGCATCTTGAGCCCGACCAACCTTAAAGAGACTGCCAGCAAAATGTTGAGTCTGACAAGAAAAACGTCACTTTTCTTTTTTTTTTCTTTCTTCAGCATCGATTCTCTCCGCCTGTGTGGTTCATTTAGATAGCCTACACTCATATAAGCCATCTTGGGAAGTGTCTGTGCTAATATTTGGACTGTAGTGTCTGGCGTCTCCACACAAACACGAGCACGTACGCGCGCAGACTGAGCTGTCTATTTGTCAGAATAAAGCCCATCAGCTTCAGTTGCATTTCATTTCTAAACGAGCTTGTTTCCTTGCTGGTGCCGAAAGACTGATGTGCCCCTTGATGCCAAAGAGTCTGTTATGCAATGTGGGTTGCACTTGATGCCTTTCTGAGGCAAACCCTTGCCAACGAGGAAAGAAGTGTAGGCTTCGGTTACTTAAAATCCTACCTGAAGTGATATGGATTTACGAATTTGCTTTAAAATCCATTCATCAGGTTAAAATTCAGAGCAGAAATAAACAACATTTGGGCCGCTTTCTTTGCTGTGTATCTGTCAGCTCCCCATACAATTGGCAGAATAGGGGTGAAGGGTGCCGTTTCTTTATTTGGGAAGTTCTGGGAAATGTGGGCCGCTGGAAAAGGATAAAGTCAGGAAAATATGCTGATTTGCCCCTGACGCATTAGCTTCACATCTCTCCGTGAACCGGTGCTTAAGAGGGAAACTCACATGTCGGTGATGTTCTCCATCTCTGCCTCGGTTTGCAGGACGGGGAAGGCATTGATACCCCGCTCCGGGTCCACGCAAGAGATCCTGGTGCTGCTGCAGGAACAAGAAGAGGGGCATGCCTCGGCGGACATCCACGGATCACCCGAACCTACCGCCACCCCGACTACCAATACCCACCACCACCAGCAGCAACACCGCCACGACCCAAACCGTCTCCCCGGCGAGGAGAGAGCCCCGCTCCCGGGTCTCAAGGCGCTCATCTCGGGTGCCGCCAACTTCAGCTATAAGGCTCGCTGAACAGCTCCACGGCCCGGCCCAGGTTGGCTGGGATCAGCCCCGGTTCGGCCAATCGAGGAGAGGAGAAATAAAACAAAATCCGCCGCTGAGATGGATGCAGGCTTCGCAGCTACAAAACCATCGACCTCTCCGGTGATGACAGATTAGAAGGAGAGAAAGGGGTGGGAAAAAGAGAAAACCGGAGAGCGTGTCGTCCCTTCCCCGTGTGACTCCTCCAGAATCCCCCAGTCAGTCAGCCAGTTAGTCAAAATCTCACTGCCACACTGGCAATGTTTGCCAAGGAGGATCGCTCTCTCTCTCCCTCTCTCTCTCTCCCTCTCTCTCTCTCAGCTGACAAGCACCGGAACCTCCTCCCGACAGAGTTGTCGTGTGTGGAGGGTAATTTTCGGTTGTTGTTAGTGGTGGTGGTGATGTAGGTGTACAAAATGACAGTCAGAAGGTGGGCACCGCACCTCACCGCTGTTTCCGCGCGCTTTGCCGGGATGAAGAGGATGAAGGAGCATCAATGCACGCCGTGAATAAACATCACCGATGCCCTCTTAGAGAACCGGTTCTCGTACCCTGCTCTCAGGACGGTCCGGGGGAAGGTTCAGGGGAAGAGCACAACTGTTTCTTGCTGTGCTCGCTCTCCACGCGTGTTCTCTGGTTAATAATTTATCCTCATTTGGTTTAGTTGAAGTTTCCTTGTAGCAAGATGTGAGCGTCCTTATCTGACATAAAGAGAAAGACAGAGTTGTGGAAAAGACCTGTGCTCTGAACAGCTTACTTAATTTATCCGCTACCTGGCTTCAGATCGTTGAGTAAATGAGATACAAGGGGCTATCAATTTAGAGGCTCTAATTGTCGTAATCATTCTCATCAACACTGTTGCCATCGTCATTATGATTATCATCTGGCTGTAATAATTCTGGAACTGTACACAGCTAATCAATGAAAAACAAAGCTGTTTTTCGCAGACGCTTCCTATTTAATCCTCATTCGACATGTTAGAGTAGCCGACTGTGTTTAAATATCCTGGAGCTTCATTTCTAACTGAGCTGAGAGATGCTTAAAGATGCAGGCTGGATGTAATATGTACAGAGAAAGAGTGAGCAATCACTGATCATCAGGTCTTTAGCTGGCATGTACTTCACCTGGCGTCACCATATTAAATCATTAGGTCATATTTCATAATGATCAGAGGCTCTCAGCCAAACCAGACCTGAATCAATAACATGTCATCTTAGAGTGCAAGTTATACGGCTGTATGCCAGTCACCCTGTTGCTATAGGCCAGATCTCCTTCAGCTGGATGCATTGCTAACATAAGAGTTGGTCTCTCCCTGCTGTCTACAACTGGAGAACAGAGCTACTCCTCCACAGTCGTTCACCTTATAAGTGAGAGGCAGAGGATGACAGAACATCTGCCTGCAAGCAGCAGCAGCCCCAGCACGCCACATCTGCAAGGCTTCCTCTCCTCTCCTCTCCTCTCCTCTCCTCTCCTCTCCTCTCCTCTCCAATGTTCCGTCCCCCATGTGCAGCTCTAATATGACGTTTGTGCTGACGCACAGGCAGTGCTGCTGAATAGAGGAGCGTAATTATGGAGCCCTGTTTGTGTGCAAACCAATCTGGTGGGTGTCTGCCTCACAAACTGGGGTGTACGCACTCTGCACAGAGTAGCGTGGGTGTACCAATTAAAAAGAAATTGTGTCTGACAAAAACAGAATATTCAGATTCCTCTCTGCTCTTTTACAGGATGCAACCTGTGTTACAGGTCTGTGATATATTAATAACACCAGGCGAACCGTCTGTCATCCTCAGAATGGGTTTTCCATACAGCACTGTGCGCCTACCACAGCACACAATACATTTGGCTTCTTGTGAATCAGCATGTTTCATGGTTTAAATCACCACTTTCAATGTATTTAAACTGTACGCGCATAAATTGACAGTCAAATATGTTAAAGGTGTCTCTTTGGACGTTTCATTTGGCAGCCATACCCCTCTGGCAGTTAATATAGGGTTTAATCCATGTCATATCTTGATAACCCTTTGCCAAAAATGAGCTTCTTTGAATAAAATAAGCAGCTTATCTAGTCAGACTTTAATTATTGAAATTAGATGGGACATTCCTTTAAAGTACTTTCTTTGGGATGAGTTCTGCCTCACAAAAAAGAAAAGAAAAACACATCCATTTGCAAAATGTTAGTGGGTGAGTCATAAATGAATCAACTCTAGAAATAAAAATCAGAGATGGTATTTAAATATATAAATATATAAATCTGTTTATTAATAAACGATGAACTCTGTTTGAGGCTGATGTATGTGCGCATTCTCATGATGTCATCCAGCTCCCTCCATAGCAGCATGGCATCATGATGTAAAGATCTTTGCCTCTGGCTGTGTGGAGACTGGTGAATTGCATTGGTTTTCATTCATTATGCTCACAACTATTTTGTATCTTTACAAGTATTTGCAAATAACCATCAAACTGGGGCTACAAATAATATTCAATTAACCTCTTAATGGGTCCATTTAGATATAGGATTAGATTGCTCCCGGAAATATCCATCAAATGCTGTAAAACTTCAAGGTGATGACAGTCGAGTATACAATCATCACAGTCTCCCCTGTGTTCCTTTCAGATCAGATGTTGTTGAATCGCCTATCGCCTATTTTATCGTCACAGTCATTCGTTGTTGAGTCATAATTGCTTTGGCCGCTGCTTCGCAATCATGTCGCTCCATTAAAGCCACCTGTGCTGCTTCCTGTTGTTGCATCATATTCTGTTCTTGGGTTTTCTTTGACTGAGAACATAATATGTGTACTTACGGCTGTTACCTCAGGTTTGCACAAGATGAGGAAGAATGTCTTGTCATTTTCAAGTCCAAACCTTTAGCAGAACTTGTTACGGTTTATTTATTTGGGACCAGAAAGGGGCTGATATGCTGCTTTAGCCCAAAGCTGAGAGTAACAGAGCCCGGGTCATGACTGGAACAGCAGACCAGTGAGTAGATGGGAGTATGTAATGACAACATCGCTGAGCTGAATGTGTTTCTTCTTTCAGTAAATGTGGGGCGGTTTGGCACACAACACACGACCCGTGGAGAGACAAACCTCAGTCGGTCCGGACTATTTCCCTCCTCTCTTCTCTTTCTAATGTGCTTTCTGGCTACATCAAAGTATGAGGAGATAGTAGTCTTCAGTGGGACCCACAAGTCTTTATTAAAATGAAATATATTTTTTCGTTAAAAATTGTCTGAATGTCACTTTCTGAACAGAATTATTACTGCAGAGCTGTGATTAAAAGGAACAAATGCATGACATGATGAGCAATTTTCATATGAAAGGAAGTAAAATTTGGAAATTATTCTTAATTTTCTTTTAACTTTAAGAAAGTCAAGTTAAAAGTTTTCTTTCTTTTTCTTTTTTTTTGTCAGTGGTTCAACATGCCTCCAGTTACGCTCTGCTGTTATCGATTTTCCTTCATTTAAATGTTTTGTTTTGATGTTTCTTTACTACTGTGGTTTTGTACAGCGTGTCACGGGGGTTCGTGAACTTATTTCAACCTCTACAAGTCATTTGAATTGTGGTTCTACTGACAGATTATACACCAGTGCTCTCTAGTGGCAGACGGGATACTTAAAAAGCCAATTTTCAGAAGGTACAACCCAATGTTTCCAGTGAGCTGGGAGTTTAATCTAATAAGTGATGAACTTCTGCTTTGTTTCATTTTAGAAAGTCTGCACATATACAGAGTGTCCTCTCAGGCTGCTAAAGGACTAAAGGAAATGACTGAAGCTTTTAGAAAGTAATGCACCAATAACCATCCCTGTCAGCAAAAGAACAATGAAGTATCCCGTCTGTGACTTTTTAACTACATAATCTGATCATCCAAGCAGACAGCAGTCCAAAAAAAGAAGAAGCCATTTAGTAGCCATGCATTAGTAACAAATAGTGGACACTATTCGAGAGGGGAGTGAAGTCAGTTGAAAGGAGGAAGGGAGGGGAAAAGGTTGGGACAGGTGGGGTTAAAGTCTTCCAGTAAGTGCCTGACATACAGTCTATGAAGAGCAAGGAAATGGAGCTGGATATAATAGAAAATAAGGATGGAAAACAAGGAAATGACAATGAGGCCTTTGAATCAGAGGTAAGTAAGGCATAAAACAATCTTAAAAGAACTGGAACTCTTTTGATCATTTCAATTACAAGATGGTTTGAGCTACGTTTGTCTGTTTGTTTTATATTTAATAATTAAAAGAACATCTATCTTCTGACTTTTACTAAAGTTGACAATTAACTTTGAGGCTTCTGAGGATGACTAAACCAACTCAAATGTTTTTTGAGCTAGAGTGGCATATTTACACCTACAGCCAACACATGGAGATTCAACCTTGGCACAGTGATTGCAGTTAACTAAAAAACCTAAATAAAACAAAATAAATATACAGGAATGTCTTCATTTTCAGTCATTAAAATCAACCAAATTTCTCAAAAAAACAAACACTGAGGTGGCACTGGTGTGTTTGTGTTGGGCAAACAAATAGGAAGTTCACTCTGTTTTGAACTTCTTAAATCCTATAACTGGAAAAATGCCCCATCTAAATACATTTTTAAAACTAAAACGAAGAAACTAATAATATCGAAATCCTTTTAATCAGTAATAAAAACAAACTAAAATGACCCGACAAATAATACAGAAAGAATGAAAAAAATCGATGGTCATTGTGCAAAAGGAAAAATAAATCTTTGTCTAGGGTTTGAAGAAGAATGTCATTGTGCAAGAGCTGTGTAAACAATCCCATTCAAGAACTTCAGTCACTGCAGTCTCAAAGTGGGCTTTCCTGCCAGTTCTGTGCACCAGTGTGTCACCAGTCAGCTTTCTCTGACAGACTCTACCCTCCCCATCCTTTTCTTGATCTTTTTTTGCCGCACTGACCAAACATCCATGTAAGACAAGATTGTTGACTGCTTCTGGGTCCTCTCTGCTAAATTTCTAATATGAATGATCCTCAATACATGTGTGACAGGAACAGCAGCACATATCCACTGATGTGGAAATCTCATCTGAAGGTATAGACGATGCATCGGCAAAGACGGGACAACACAACAAGAGGTTTTTCCTTTCTCATTCTCTAACCAAAAAGAGTGTTTCTTCATTTCTTCTGAATCACCAGCTTTTCTTCCGTGAGCCTTTTGATCTAACATTTATGACCTCTCTCCTTACTCCTCTTATCTGTGTGTCAACAGCTTGCTGGAAAAGAAAGTGGAGGCACTCCAGGGCTATATGGC